ACAGTGAAGTCAAGAGAAATCACGCCATCCCTAAAAGTTCACAGTTTACAGGGCATACGCTTTCATGCCTGAAGTCACAGAAACCCGTCAAAACTCTGGCAATTACGGAGAAGGCGAATATGTGTGATTAACTTTGAAAAACCAATTGGTGAAATAACTCAGCAGATAATTAAGTTAAGTAATTGCGAAGCACTGAGGAATAAACCTACGCACTTTTGCATCCTCAGATTAGCTGGCCTATTAGACTGCAAACTAGTCCGCAAAAGTTATCAAAGCATAGCACAAAGCAAAAATTGGGACGGTTTTTTAAACTCTTCCATGCACGCGAGGTTTAGTCATACAGAAGAAAATTGACCGGAATGTATGACTGGAAGCCTCCTAAGAAAAACCGGGATCTAAGTTTCGATGGGGATGGAATACACGAGTAGCAATCGATACTCTTGTAGGACCTGACAACTTACAGTTGAACCAGAAACGCAGAAGGTGACATCGTGCACCTAATCAACCATATTGATTAACACGTGTAAAATCTAAGAAAGCACAGTCCACTAACTAAAGAAACTAGTGATCGCGCTGCCCAAACACTTAGACCCGGTTGTTGTATTAGAATGTGAGATAGAGAATTCTAAGCAGAAATAACAGAGCGTATTCTTTATGGAATAAACTGTCTTTTACATACTTTATCGTAAAGTAACTTTGAGAATGAAAAAATTTTCCCATCCGTTTCCAAGGGAAGGCAGGCACAATAATCAGGCTGAGCAATTCTAGCTATTAATTATCATCAGTTCGACTGAGCTAACTTACTCAAAAGTATCGCCTTGGCACAGTGTGCTCATTTGATATCGTTTAGTGATATTTTAGACTGATTTCTCAAACATTTTCTTGCTATTAAACTGCTTACTGCACTATGGGTACTGTGGTAGCTAGAAATTTGATTGCCAGGCCAGCTTTTTACTTCCAATAGTCAAACAGCTAAACTCGGTTTTGATATAGCTAGAATTCCAATCAAGTTGGTAACCGATAAGGACTCATTCACTTTATGCTACTTTCTCTAGCTGAGCCCGTCATTCCGAAAATTTAACGGGTTTGCCCCCGGGCCTTGCTGCTCACTGGGACGTCATAATACAGTGTCGATTCTTTGAGAGAATTCTTCTGAAGTTCTCCACCTGATGAGCCACTGGATTGCACTGTGCCATGGTGCAGCTTATTGAAAACCCCCTAAACCAGTAATAACTCAATGCTTACGTCCCACTTGATACTCGGTGGTATTATTCTGCTTAAGCAAGTCTTATTTTCAATAAAAATTTCACCCACTCAGTATATCCGACCTGTGTTTAAAAGCCCAGAAGTCCTGTACACCTGTTTCATACTCTTGTTGTACACAGCTGGCAAATCTGAGTTTCAAACCCGCAACATTCCGGTCAGTGATTGAACACCCAAATGCTTTGCCACGTATGGCTGATCAGCTGATCAGGACAGATGCCACTCATCCTTCAATCACAAAACACTATCACGTGTTCACGACCCGAATAACCATTATTCTGATGAAGGTTATTCATTCATCTGTGCTACTTATTTGCTTGAGCTAACGGCATCCATTTGCCTCTTTTCTGAGGCTTCGTTCACATGATCGCATTACCACCATAATATAAGTAGAAACCAATCCTCAACTAACGTCCAACGGTGTGTCGTTTAGATTTTCTCCAGTAATTTTCGGTATCATTCCTAAAAAAGCGGAGGTATTTACCATTTTGACATTTAAATTTGACCTTGTAACTTCATATCAGTCACGGGTGAACTGGTACAAATTTTCCCAAGTAGGACGAAGGGTTAGTAGGCCCACCAAACGTGTCCCGTACTGAAAATAGTCTCATCAGGAGAGAAGGGATTTCGTGTTGCCGAGATTGTAAGAAGTATCTCTTGTTAATGACAGCTTCGGTGTTTGTCCTCAAAGTTTCAGTGCCCCCAAAGAACAAAACTCTGAAATTCAGATGAACCGATGAATTAAGTCCGCGTATTTCTGTATTTTTATGCACAGGAAAGACTCTTAGAAGAGTGGATAAGTTTTCCTTCAAACAGTCTTCTCATTAGCGCAAAAAATTAGTATAAATCACAACAGTTGTGTGTGGGACCATGTGGGTGTTTTGCTTAGTAAGGTTTCATATGAGCACTCCCATACAAAATCATTTTGTACCTTACATCCCCTTGTAGCTGCTTTATTTGAAAATTTTTTGACGTTTTAGAATGCTCAATGTATAGAAGTAAGGAATATTCAAGCCACTCAGGTAGCTGATCCTACAACTGCTGGGTAATCCTTTGTCACTTTTAAAGGAAAGTCGACATTATTCGTGAACATACTGAAATACTGACAGTCCCGCGTAAAACATGAAAGATTCTGGTTTATGAAAATCCAATAACAAGGAGCTTGATTAAGAGGCGACATGGAAGAATACGTGTGAAACCTTTCGGGGATGTGGGAAATATTTATTGCAAGATTCGTGATCAGGCGGAGTTACACATTACCCGGATTGGACTAAGGTGAATTACAAAGAAATAAGAGATTTTGTAAAAACAATCTCATTATCCGGATCGGAGTTTTCTGGAGAAAGTAAAGCAAATCAGAGTCTTGGACACTCAGTTCATCCCAAAACATGAAGGCATTCGATCCCAGGAAATTCGTACCTTTTATGGTACAGAACGAAATTCGGTCCTGATTATACATAGCTCCCCACAGCCTTAACCATCCTGTGAGAAGCCAGTTTACGACTGATTACGCCACTTGAAAATGAACAGTGGTCTACCCTGTTAAGTGTTAGATAACTCCATCGCTCATGAACCAAATGGACTGTTGGATGTTCCAACTGTTTTTTATAAATATGGTGGATTTTAATACCTTTTGAATGAAAGCTTCTGATGATTTACAACCTGGGTAAAACGTCTGCAATTAGTAGCTTATTTTTGTAGCACTTCTAGCCTATATACAATATTCCTGTTTTTGGTGATTGAAATATGGCAATCAATTCTCGGTAAGTCAGATGATTCAAAGTTATTTTCCACCTTCAACTGGATGAACTCACAAAAAGACGAGCATTCTCAAGGCAGGACAGAGTCACACCTTGCAGTTGGAGTCTTATAAAAACGAGACCTTATTGTTGTGTTTGCTTCTTTAAAAAGTCTTTTTCAACGTTCGTTCCGTTTCACTCCTAGGTGTCCAAAGTTTGGAGGAGCATAACAGTTGGGTATTAATTAATAAGAATCCTTCTATATATCCTGAAATCAATCCAACTCTTACAGTCATATGAACTTATACTTGATGATGCAATGTTTGTAGCGGCTTAGCGTCATAGGAACGTTTGGGAGACAAAAACTTCATGTGAAGAAGTCCTCTGGACGTTTTTTTCGTTCCGACCTACGAAACTGACCGTGTGTTTCTGGTCGTTTTATAGAGTAAAGTGAATGATATGAAATTTGAGAATAACGTACACAAATGTGCGGCAGATTAAATGACTCCATCCTTGTTGAAGTCCTTCAAGCATTAGTCTACAAATGCCTAATTTTCCAGTTCCGTAATTTTTTGCCCAACCTATTTTCGCCAACCTATTTTGTACTGCTTAATTGAAGCACATATGTTCTATAAGAGAGTGATGCGCTGGTAACGAATGAGTGTTTTTTCCGTTTTTCTGCAAACAAAATATTACTAGATATCAACCTTGAGGCGGATGGCACCTTCACAATGCACATGTTACGAGCCACTAATCTCTTAAGGAAGACGAAACCAAGTATGCTGGCAGCATAATTGCCAACTAGGTTACCCGTTACCATGTTGAGGCAATATACTTGATCTGTGTGAAAGACTCGACGACCTAAGGTTTCTAATCATCAGATCCGCAGCTTCTAACCAAGTTTTCGTCTTCTACAAGTAACAAATGTCTAACTCATGTGACGATTACAGGTTTATCAGATATGCAATGATGCATTGTACATGTTGATCTAATTCAGCTACTTCTGATGCACAAAATAAAAGATCTACAGGTGATTGATTAGGTTTTGTTGACTAAAAGTTTGGTCGATTGTGGATAATACTGATGAACACAGTATGACTGGTTCTCGGAGCGCCCAGCGAACTGATCACTTGAAGTGTCGTAAAATGAATCAGAGAGGTACGCCCCGAGTAACAGTCGCTAACTATGGGGGATACAGTGCGCTAAGGGAACGAGGTTCCTATGAAGTTGGACAGATATTTAACTATATGCTGTCCGAATGAATGTTGTGAATGTTTATGCATTCTAACTGAAAGGTTGACCCTGAAGGGCGACCGTGAGCAACCAATGAAGGAAGGTCTTCAAACGGAAATAACACGTCCCTGCAAAGTAAACTTGTATTAGGCCCCAACGCAACTTACAACAGCTAACTAAAGTGCCCATCATTTAGTCTAAAGACATAATAGGCAGAATGGTTCCGACGATAAAACTCATTTGCACAGTTATTTTGTGTTAGGGTGAGTCTTGGTGTAAAATTGTCGTCTGCCATGACCTGCAAATTAAGTAGTATGGTAATCGCTCCCTTCGGTTTCGCTTAGGCTATGAAAATTCGCCGACATATCATTACTGGCGTTGCTTTTTATAAATGGCAGGGATACTCGGCAGGAATAAAACAACTGACAATTGGCTTTAAGTGGAGTTCCATGGGTTTTCGCATATCATTTAAAAATATTTTCTAATAAATAGCTGACAACATCAAAGCACTTCAAGGATAGTAATCGTGTGGTGCGCCTCCATAAAGAATGAGAATGCAATTTGGGCATATGATAAACGTGAATTCGGACAGCAGAATAGAAGATACGAGAAAAAATGAGCGATTTTGGACGGAACGCAAACACATGGCCTCTCCAAACAAACGCAGGTTATTTTAAATTCTGTTTTGTTTTCTGTCAGGAGCCAAAATAAAACTCGCAGGAGCTACAAGTGGCCGTAATCTAGCAAACAGCGGGCTTGACTCACTTCTGGGTGTTCATGGAGCCGCATGTAGTTGTGACAGTTCATCCAGCTGAGAATCGTATTCTTTAACCAAGTAATTTTCGACAGTGTTACGGGTTCCAGTTTGACCGGCAACACAACGTGATAGGCCTCAACCGTGTCCACCTGCACAAGGAAGCGTATCGTAAATGTATTATTTTCACACAGCCATATAGAAGGCGTTTCCATCATAGAATATTCTGAATCTAATTATGAGGAGACACAACCCGACGTCCAATGTTTTGGTCTAGGAGCCACTGTTAGTCATCCATAAAAACACGTCAACTCTCTGCTAAAATATTTATCTGTCCCAAGCTCTATAAAGCAAACATAAGCATCCACCAATCAGACTATTTCTGCAACAGCAATAATACTCAACAGTCCTTTCGGTCCAGGTTATCCTAGCCTTAGTGAGGGGCGTTTTCAGTGTCATCTCTTAGGTTAATGGTTTTGGTAGCTTACGTATACAACTTCAAAGTGCGAAATGCAGGTTTTAATCTAAGGTTTACAAACCCCTGTCAGTCAGAGGCAGCACATCCATATTTGTGATGCTGAAACATTGAGGTGAAGACCCTAACAAAGTGACCACAAACAGCCAATTTGAAGACAATTTTGAGGGACCATGCATAGAGCTGTTGAAGTGATAAACAGTGAATAAACCCCTCTAAATTCTGGACACTTGTGTTGTGAGTAAAACCTGTGGAAATAATAGAAATAAGGCTTCAAAAGAGCTTCGAAGGAGTATATTATCACTTTTATGAACAGAGGGGACTAAGCAGCCAATATGAGTAATGACAACATTGAAATTTACGATTCGCCCAACTGCAGCAATTGTATTGTGGTCTTTGTAGTATTGACAAATACCATAGTCTTGGACAACTCCTAACTCCATGACAATAGGTTGATATTACCTTTACTTGTTGGGTCCTTCATGCTGGCTAGAGTGACTCTGTGTTGTATTCTATCAATTATTCAATTATTCAGTTATTCATTTATTCAATTACTTAATTATATTTTCAAAACGTTCAACTGCTGCGGAGACAGTATTTTGTTAGAACCGATATCCCAATTCCATTAACATTTCAAAACAAAACTGGATTTTTAATGCACAGGTTTATCCAGTTCAAGTGATCTTTACCTGTAGTTCGTTGGTTGGTGTGCTTAGTGATCTTTCAGCATTTATGAACGAGCCATTCAGCTCACGACTTTCAAATTGAGTGGAAGCAAATTCCAGGGACTAGTGGAAATTCCATAAGCAGAGTCTTTATTCTATCTACCAACAAGTTTTCATTTAAATATACATGGTTAAATTGTCTAAATCAAGAGCTATTTACCAGTCGGAATTCAAAAAATCCGTCACTGCCTAGTAGTTCTAGTTGTGATAATTTAGCTGGTTGAAAACCATGTTGGCTTTTAGTTTTCCACAGATAAATGCAGTTCATGTTCCGAAGACTCAGTCAGAGCTAACATAGTTATGCTTTGCGAACAAATGTTTGGTTTGGTCTAACTCTATGGCAACGACCCATACCAACTGGACCCTTGCAAAGGACAATAAACAACAGATAAGTCAAGGTTGTGGAAATGAATCGTCCAGCCGGCAATATCTAGGTTATTAAAAATTGTGAGGACGTAGAGACAATTCAGTCGCTTAGCTGGAAAAAATGTCACGTGTATGGCAGAAGTTGTGTTGGGAGATTGACAGAACTTTCACAGCAGACATTGTTAACGAAAGGAATAACAGCCACTCAATCAGCAACAAGAAAACGAGCCCAGTAACCAAAATTTGGGCGTTTGGACAAGTTCGGGCGTGGTGAGCTCGACAATCTCATTGATTGGATAAGTTCACCTGCCGACACTTCTTTGCACGACAAAAACCATTATTCCTTCATGAAAACCTCCAAGAGAGTCTCTATTTGCAGAGTAACCCAACAACCAAAATAAACCGACCAAAACTTTGACACTAGCCGGGAATAATTGTGGACGCGTTGTCCGATGCATGACTGAACGGGCACAGAAATCACACCGAGCAACACAACGGTCTAACTTGTGAAGCTCAAGGTGCCTTTCTAAGAACATAGGAAGATAAATTCTGCAGCAGCCCAACATGACAATAGAAGAGAGTAACATCTAGCACTAAAAATAAGAAGGTTCATCTTGAAGACAGAATTTCTAGGCTGATTTGAAATCAGGAAAACATAAGCGATCACAACGAAGCTGGGATAAACAATCTTTCCAGTAGAGTACTCACAAAGGCATAACAAGACACTGTTGTCAATTGCGAAGTCCAGATAAATTTGGGGAACTTAGCTAGCAGCAATCTGATCAGCCGGATCGATGAAAACTTCACAAACAAGCACACCAAGTCATCGTTTCAGTCATCGTGTTGATGGGAACTTTCAACAACATTTCAATAAAAGAAAACGACAACCAAGTTAAAGAGATATGGAAACCTTGTCATTCTGCTGAATGAAACATTATATATAGAAGTGATCAAAGGCAAACATGATTACTTAAGTAAAGCAAATCCAACGACAAAACTCCTTATCGTTACTCAGAGAAAAATTAAAAATAGAATCAGCAACAAGAACCGAAAATTCCCAGACCTTCTAGATTGTCACGAAAGTAGAACATTGGAGAACGATGAGGAGTCAACCATTACCCACTGCCGGACTTCCAAAGGTATGTAAACAATTTCTCCCTGACAAATCTTCCTCTCCTTCTCTGACATACAAACGTTCAAATGAACTTGAAACATTCGTCAGTGGATCGCAATATTTGGTCATCAGTTTGAAGTACTTTTCACAGAATTACGAATATACAAACATCGACAAGGAATGAATATTTGTCTCATTCAATGTAATTTTGATGTTCAACTCCGTAGAATTTAGTGGCGCCAAGACAGTTGTATGCAACAGACCTGATTGGTATAGCTTACTAAATTAAACGGGGAAATGCAGGTGGTTCGACTTAAAATTAACTAAGTATTTTGAATTCAAGCACAATTACTACGACCAGCCATGAGAAGCATTAATAAATTAACATGAATTTCAAAGTTAACCTTGAACGATTTTGTGTTTCCTGATATAAACACCATAAACATGTATGCGTTTCGTGCAAAATACTTCCGTTAGCATCAAGGAGAGGAGAGGCTCAGCAAAAAAGCAAGTCTTTGACGGTATTCAATTTGACGTTGAAAAAAGAAGGAAAACAGATACATTTGGATTTTCCTAGCAAAGGCTTGCTAAACAGGCAAATAAAGAGTGGGAACCACAATGAGCGGCACACACGGACCGTTTTAAGGGTCACCACTGCAATCACCTAACTTGCCATAGATAAAGCCGTATTAAGACACATTGCATACATTGAGAACTTACGGAAGGACACTCTGCTTAAGGTCTTTCAAGGATACTTTTACCTGAGAAAATCAATTTGGTGGCATTTCAGAAAACCCAACGCAACTGCCTTAAATACGAAGAGGAGGCAAAAGAACCACATTCCAATCAATGAGACTATTGATGAAATTTGTTCAAGATTGTAACGACAGAACAATACCAAGCTGTTCCACAAACCTACTGATACTTTGGATTTTTTAGTACAAAAAGGAAGTCGGATTTGATGAAATACAATGGCGTATGCGACATTTCGCCCAAGGACTGTTACTAACAATAGATGGGAAAAGGCTGCTATAAGATCAAGATTAATTTTTACTGGTCCTCGTGTACAACAATCAGGAAAAACATGTTTGACTGCAAGGACGTTAGCACGTTAGCTCCAGTGGAAACAAAGAAGCGTGGTACTCTTCCGAAAACTCTATCAACAATCATAATAAAGCTGATCCAGTTTATGAATTGCTGGGGACAAATGGATTTTGGAAATGCGTAGCTGAGGACTGAACATGCAATAGAGTTAGGAACTAATGAGATAATCATAAAGATACACTAAAGCAATAGACCAATTTGACTTGGATTTACTTTCAGCTACCGAAGAAAAAGGACTGAACTAAGCATGTCATTTGAATTTAGAAACATCATTCGATGTGAAGGAAAAAATAGAAAGTTGCAAGCGGTCAACTTAAATGAAGGAGAGAAAACTAGAATCCAAACCAGACTAAGAACAGAGGAGTCATGGATGGAAATGAAATTTGAAAAGTTAGTACCGGGCTAACCAACAAAACCGGATGATAACATAGTACTGCGAAAATCGTTAACCAATCAAATTACGAAGCTGTCCATCAGACAGAAATATCGGACTCTTTGATGTTGAATAAACGCAACCAAGTACGAAGAAACCAAAAATCAGCTCAGGGAGAATATCTCCTCTAATAGCAAGGAAACTTTTGCAAGCCTTTTTCCAAGCTTAATAAACAGACAAAAAGTCACGTGATCAAAAGTCAACGGCCGCAGTAGTGCACAGATCTTAACGCGCTTTGAAACCTAAAACTACATCATTTAAAACAACCCTTTAATTATTTTAGCCAACAATCAGTTCATTTCAGTCAGCTTGGATGGATAATATCTCAGACTTGTGTAAACCCCATTATCACTTAAGAGTAATGCAGCAAAAGACCAGATTTGTTCCCAGGAGCACTACTACATACACAGGTATGACTTCGTGGAAAACAGGTGTTTTCAGTCCCTCAGATCATCTATCTTCCTACTAACTTATCGGCGGCTGTTCCAGCCATATTTGTAGCCCGTATCCTTCTACGTACTTTTTGTTTAAGTTGATGCAATTGTGGAAAACCTGGATAGTGATTCGTTTGCTTGCTGAGAGATTCCTCAAAATTAGAGGTTTTTCGTAAATCGATTTTCTTTGTGGTATTACCAATTTCTGTGACCAGATGAATCGTTACAATACGTCTGATATTTACCAGTTTTACCAAAGACAGCTGTTCCAATTTTTGTTGAAAATCACCCTCTTATGTTGGACAAAAGTAGCCCAAATTGTGTAAGCATGAAGTGTTCCCATGACAACTCTCTTCGAAGGTGTACCGTTGTAGAAGAATGGCGTGGTTTTGTCCTAGTGCGGAGCCTGCTCTCCTAAATGATACTTAAGTTGAGACAATGAACTCAGCAAAGGCTTCACGCCTGTGCATTCATCATTCTATATTCCATATAGTGCACAGT